TAGTGCATGTTTTGGAGTAGATCAGAAATTTTCTCATGGGGAACCAATTTTGTCAAAAAAAAGCTGATGTGATTCAGTTTAAATGCTCTGTGGGGATTTTGTCAAAACTCTTGATGGAATTGATAAGCCCACTTTGGTGCCTGCCTGCTGTGCTGGAGCTGGCTCCTGGCAAGCAGCCTGGTGGCTCAGCGGATCAAGGGGCTGCTTTGTGCTGGGGCTCCTGCTCCCTCCGCTCCCAGGGTGTGGGGCCACACGCCATCCCTCCAGCTGGGAGTGAGTAGGATGCTATTATGGAACTCCTGCTTCAGGGATTCTGTCTGTTAGCTGGGGAAAAAAAAAATTGTTTGCTTATTTGTTTGTTTTTTCTTAAGATTGAGTCGCTCTCCAAACCACTTTCTTGGAGTGAGATTTTTCTTTAACTTTGCCACGATTTGGGGAAGGAAAGGTTTTAGAGGAAATGCTTTGCAGGGTGACATTTCTGCTTTACAGCAGGTGCTGGTAAGTACTGAAGGAGGGGGCTGAAGGGCTGCATGAGCAGATGGTGATAGACCATACTGTACCAGTCTGGGAAAATGATTAATCAATACTACAGAGATTTATTCTAGTATTTTGTTCTTTTAATTTAGCCTTCTGTTTTTCTGCTCAAGAGTTCTGTAAGAGAATGTTCTAAATATGATGCTGATTCAGGATCCTGGTGATTTTTGAAAGCAATCCAAGCAGTTCCCTGTTTTTTAGCTGGATCTTGTTGCAAATGGCAGTGAAGAGAACAAATGTTCTATCCATGTTTCTAACAGCAAGTTGCATAAATATGGCTGGGATTTTAATGAAGGAAACTTGGGGAAGCAATACTGAGGAATAGTAAGTTATTGGTGAACAAGATACTTCATGCACATTTTTTTTGAGTCCTGTTGCATTGCTGTAGGCAACCTTAATTCTGATACTTCACAAGTTCTGAGAGCGTTCCTTTCTGACTTTATTGATCTCTTAAAAGGAAGTCTGTAACTTCATAGGCCTTGTTTTGAGCAAAATTAAAAAGAAAAATAAATTTAAAATAATCTGAAGTGGCATTGTTTACACCAGTGTAGTGCATTAATAGAGTTGGAACTTGATGGTTCCTGATGCAGATTTTGGCTTCATGGGATACTGGAGGATGTTCTTGCCCTTTATGGAGGAACAGTGCTGGAGGAAGAAAATGTCTTCCAGTGAACACAAGACTCCTTCCTTTTTTCATCTTCATCTTTCATGTTAGGCACTTTTCCACTGCTTGGCTCTTCCTCCTTGTCTTGTTCCATTCCCTCACCAAGATTTAGATTTTACTACCCTTGTTGCAAATGGCAGTGAAGAGAACAAATGTTCTATCCATGTTTCTAACAGCAAGTTGCATAAATATGGCTGGGATTTTAATGAAGGAAACTTGGGGAAGCAATACTGAGGAATAGTAAGTTATTGGTGAACAAGATATTTCATGCACATTTTTTTTGAGTCCTGTTGCATTGCTGTAGGCAACCTTAATTCTGATACTTCACAAGTTCTGAGAGCGTTCCTTTCTGACTTTATTGATCTCTTAAAAGGAAGTCTGTAACTTCATAGGCCTTGTTTTGAGCAAAATTAAAAAGAAAAATAAATTTAAAATAATCTGAAGTGGCATTGTTTACACCAGTGTAGTGCATTAATAGAGTTGGAACTTGATGGTTCCTGATGCAGATTTTGGCTTCATGGGATACTGGAGGATGTTCTTGCCCTTTATGGAGGAACAGTGCTGGAGGAAGAAAATGTCTTCCAGTGAACACAAGACTCCTTCCTTTTTTCATCTTCATCTTTCATGTTAGGCACTTTTCCACTGCTTGGCTCTTCCTCCTTGTCTTGTTCCATTCCCTCACCAAGTTAGATTTTACTACCCTGTTTTTTTTTTTTTATACTTACTGACTTGAAGTTTTCTGCCTAAGCTAGAACCTCTCCCCCCTCTATGCACAGTTCTAATGTCTCTCTTAGGCAGGCCCTTCCCCTTTGTGCTCCTTGTCCAAAATGAGCCATCTTTTTTTCTAGCTGCAGCATAAAATTTTCTGTTCAGAATGTGCCTCCCCAGCTGTTTCATCCAGTTCTCCTCTATGTGGTAGTTCATCATATCTTTGTTTCCTGCCCTCTGCCTCATTGAGCTCTTCAGTCTGTCTGTCCTCTGTCCTGCTTGGTTGCTTCCCACCAACTGATGGCAATGGCCTCTCCCAGGATACAGAAGCTTTCGCTGGTATCTTGTCTCTCCCATTTCTCCTCTTTCATGCCCAACCACTTCCCTGTCTCTCTTAATTCCCCTTTTTCCCCTGCAGTCAGTCAGCTTCTCAATATTTGACTGTCATCTTCCACTGTGAGTATCAGTGGTGAAGTAACAGAGGTTGCTGGAAGGGTAGACCTGAAACTTCTGTGGAGGTGCTACCTCAAGCCAATGGGAGCTGTGCTTAGAGGAGAAATAGCTGTGAGCCAAAGCACGCTTGTTTGTTTGTTTTGAAATAGCTTGTAATTGGACCTGATGTGTGTTGGAGGTTGAAATACACTTCTGCATTCCTCAGAGATTTTAGTCAAATTCTTGAAAATATTCACTCTGTTGTTGTAAATATGTGTTGGAGGTAGGGAGGACTTGTCACCTGACACTGAGGGGATGGACAGAGAGATCCTTGGCAGAATGATGATGGCACTAGATTGTAGTTACAATTAAAGCTTTATTTTCTTAATAGGATATTATGATTAGTGTAGCACAGAATTTATTATTAGAATGGCACAGGATTTCTACAAGCAGAATCAATATGGTACAATTTGCAAGTAGTATAACAGAAAATATATAGTACAACTTAGCTGATAACTTCTAATCACCTAAACCCTCTGCAGCTTGGGTCAAATATTTAATACATAGTTTGCTGTATCAATATAACAATCACAATCTAGACTGGAAATTCTTATAAAAGGGTACGAGTCACTCCTTCAATTCTGGGAGAAGGCAGAGGATGATGGAGGCATGTCCCTGGCCACAGCAGACCCTGCATCTCTGTCCTGGTTTGAGATCTCACTGTCCTGCAGCAGCTCCACTCCAGGTTCCCTCCCCCTTAGGACTGGTAACTGCTTGATCTTACAGACAGTGATCTGGGTGCTGGTTACATGTCCCTGTTCTGTAATGGGGCTGTCACCACCACCTGCTGGCCCCTAGCGCCTGTGACCTTCAAGAGCAAAAAGAAAAGAAGTAATCAGCCTGGTGCCTAGGAACCTTGAAGATGGTGGGGAGAGGAAGAAGAAATCTGTGTGGTTTGTCTACTTACTTCGTAGGACCTTCAGGGCCTAATGAGGGAAAGACAACAAATGTGTGACCCACTTGGTTACAGCAAATGGCTGCTTGCCTCATAGAATGGCATTGGTTATGCTCACCATGTTGCCGGGGGTCAGGAGCAGGGGTTACAGATTGCAGAGCAACTCTGTGAACAGCTGCTTTCAGTGTGAACAATTAGTTTAATAAAGACTTGAGCAACAGAGGGCTGAGCTTTACAATGGAAAGTTGTTGACAACATCGACAGTAGTATGTGTTCCCAGGCTCTCTCTTAATATCAGCAACAGGTATTAGTAACAGTAAAAGAGGTTTTTTGCTGGACAAATGACATATGAGTGAAAGCCACAGTTTTAGGTTTTAGGATGGGAAGTTGTTACTTAGACTAATAAGAAGGTGCATTAAGAAGTAATGGAATGTGCAAAACAAAGTCACTTAAGGATTAACATAAAGATGGTAGAGCAGTATGCCAGAGGATGTTTTTTACAAGGAACTAGTAGAAATTATCTTTTTTTAAATGTTTATATGTTGACCAGATAAAATGCACAAATATCCTGTAAGAAGCACTTTCATATTAGTGGGAGGAAGACTGTGAAGCAAAATATTTCTTTAATTTCTCTCTTCTGAGAGAGCATATGTTTGAGTTCTAGAAATGCAGTATATAGTGTAACCTCAAGTGGTGTTCACAGAGCTACCTGAAATAGACTGCTGCTTTTCACTATCATCCTTCAGTAGGACATAGGACTCCTAAATACCCATGGAAATTTAAGTGCAAGGAGCAAAAGCTAGGCTCCAGTCCAAAGCTGGTTGAAGCTGATTAAGACACCACTTTTGGCTACCAAGGGCTCTGGCTTAGGCCACTAGCAAGCAGGAATTGAGCCTGAGGTGTTCAGGCAGACTTTTTTGGTTAAAGTTAAGTCTGTGTTTTTTTCTTTTCATGTTTGGGGTGCTGTCTGTGATTACAGATGTCCCAGTGTTTATACCAACTTAAGTGTTACATGTTTTTATTATTTAATTCTAGAAATAGTAAGTGGGTGGTACTCAACACCTTATCTACACTTAAGCACCAGGTTATGTATTGTTCTGTTTTTATAGCTTGACACTATACACTGTTAAATCACAGGTACACCTGGAGATGATGTAAGATATGTCTACAGCTAGAATAGAGCAGAGGCAAGGAAAATATTTGTACTTTGTATAGTTTGCTTGTTTGCATGCTTATCTTCTATTTTAGAAATAGAAAATAAAATGTATACATTTTATCATAATGTGTTTTATTAGTGCAGTCCAAGTTAATTCTTTCATTTCAGTTTCACTTGGCATGTTGCCTCAATTTTACAGCTTGGTCTGAACTTCTTATACATGTATGTATTTATTAGCGATCTGTGTGCTGTCACTCCACTTTTTCAAGATTTAAATAGTTGAAAAGTCACTTACAGAGTTGGGTCAAAACTTCATTCCAAACATTAATAGAAATGTAGGGCTTATTATTTCTGAGCTAGATTGCTTGTACACGATTCACCAACAAAATTTTCCACGGTACAAAAAAGATTTTTAAAAACTCTTACCTGGCTTTCTCTAAAGCATTGTGAAAAGTGGGGTGTAGCATTTGAGAGTTTTAAGATGTTTGCATCAGTTTGGGGGGATAAGTTGGAACTTGTTTTAATTAATTTATTTTATATTTGACCTCTAGGTTCCAGCAAGATGTGGGGTAACAGTCCGAGACAGCTTAAAGAAAGCTCTGATGATGAGAGGTCTTATTCCAGAATGCTGTGCTGTTTACAGGATACAAGATGGGTATGGTTTGTGTGTGATGGTTTTTGCTCTTAGAATCTCTTCTTGGAATTACTCAGTATGGCCAGTTCTATCCACCATTGTGCAAGTCACTTTAAAAGTTCAGAATGGTATGATATTTTACACTAAAACAATTCGTGCCTTGAATATATGTCTTCTTCAGAAGAATGGCAAACTCCTAGAAAAAAGATTTAATCACTTCAAGAACAGGCATAATATAGAGTAATATGAGCTTATGGACTACTGGCAAAACTCTCATTAACAAAACTCAAGCTAGTGCTAGCCAAACAAGTATTAAATAGGTTTCATAACTTTTTTGTTTGTTTGTTTTATTTGACTTGGTATAGTGCATTCTTAATATAGAGTTCTGGGGGGAGGGAGGGAGAACTGAATTTCCAACCTTAACAAGTTTGTAGATTATCTTTAGTGCGTCAAAATTAGCCAACTCTTTGGAACTCTTGTGGAATGGGTACTTTCACAAGAACTTTAATCAGAAAGGTATTGGTCACCTTGGAACCAAGGAAAATGCCAATACTGTAGCTGATTGAAAAAAGTGCATTTTGGTCATGCAGTTTGTCCAGGGAAGGTGTTTTCTCCTTGGAATGTGCTGAGCTTAATGTCTTTTAAGTTTCCTGAAGTAAGAGACTGGGTAGCAAACTGCCATGGTGTGACTTATGTGATCCCACATCTTCTGCGGAAGACCTACAAGGACCTATGTGCTGGTGCTAATTAAAGCCTTATTTACACTTTAGAGAGAAGAAGCCAATTGGCTGGGACACGGACATTTCCTGGCTCACAGGAGAGGAGCTGCATGTGGAAGTCTTGGAGAATGTGCCACTCACAACACACAATTTTGTAAGTACTGTTTTTTAAGACATGTTGAGTAGAGTTAAATTATCTTTGTACTGTCAAATTCAAATTAACAACTTTGAATTCTGTTTTATATCTGTGGGATGTGGTGGGAGTTGCAAAAGAAATTTTTAATCACAGTAGCTTAAGTGAGTTAGATTCATAATTGAAATAAGTAATGTTAGAGTACTTGAGCACCCTTAAAACTTTCACATTTGGATGGAATATAACCTCTGAAATCTATAAGTGTAGAGGGGTTAAATCAGCACTGCAGTGCAGAGCTGTAATAATAATCTACTATTTTTGTATTGCTGTATCTATAAGATGTATTCTGGGCCTCCTTGCTGGCTCTACAGTAACAATTAACTAATGAACTAACTATTCCCATAGTGGTGCTGACATCATCAGTGATGCTAGTGCACAAATATGTTTTGACCTGATAAGACACCAAGTAAATGAAGCTGCTAAACAGAATCCATCTAAACAGTTCCAGCTACATACAAAATCCTGGAAATAATGTTTGTCACATTGAGAAGAAATACCTTTTATTAAAAAAAATAACTTAAAAATGTATTTGCAAGCTACTTAAACTAGCTAGTTTCAAAGAAGCTAGTTTGGGTATGGCTATTAGGTGAAAGGCTTATAATTTTCTTCATATCCTTCTAAAATTTTGATTATTACACATAATATTAAAATTAGAATGTAGCTGTATGCCAAGTATTGCTAAACTTTAAATTGAAACCAAACTATTTCCCTCCCTATTATATGGAAATAATATATGTTCACTCTTTGGCAATTGTAAATGTTTCTGAATGTCAATATTCCAAGTTGCAACTATGTATGTAACCATATATAGAAGCCATATATATATTTCCAGTCCTGTTATTGTTGGATATAAATGTCATTTGGTTCCTGGAAAAAAAATAAGAAGCTTATACAATGTTTCAGCAGCAGCTTTTGTTATTATAGGTTGTCTCCAATTAAATTCTGACTGTATGTCTCTAATGTGGTAATAGTGCAGTGTTTTGCTTCAGATTTGTTGCTGTTTTTCTTGCTGCTAATGAAGTGAAGCATTAATTCCAATGAACAGATTAATTACCATAAAAGAAAATTTTAATGCATGAAGACTGTTTCAAAAAGGAGACAATCTTTTGTGGAAACGTGTTTGATACGCAAAACTGTGCTTCCAGCATCAAGAAGGAGGCTTGTATTTGAGGGAGGTTAAAGCAAATAACCTGTCTGAGGCTTACAGATGGACTCCTTTTTATTTTTGACAATGTAGGTACGAAAAACATTCTTCACGTTAGCGTTCTGCGACTTTTGTCGAAAGCTGCTTTTCCAGGGATTCCGGTGCCAGACGTGTGGCTACAAATTCCACCAGCGCTGTAGTACAGAAGTGCCACTGATGTGTGTTAATTATGACCAACTTGAGTAAGTAATCACAACTACTTTTCCAGTTGAGCCTTTTATTAAGCTTACATCTCTCCGTGATTTCTTACGTTAAATCTGTAATTCAGGAATTCAGAGGGAAAAAATATAGGCATTCAGCTGTTCTTGTGAGACTGCATAATTCGTGTTCTCTCTGTTCTGCCTCAGACAACCAGTTCATATTTTTTTTTGTTGGACTATGAAATGCTTTCTTTGAAGCATGAATGGGGTGGTTGAGCACTTGACTGTATCAGACAGGCTTCTTGTTGTTCACAGTTGTTATTCTTAATCAAAACTGGTTCTTTATTACGTGATGACTAGGGCCCTTGAATGCTTAGATGTGGGTTTAGATGAGAGCTTAGTCTCTTCAACAGGAAAAAAATGTTGAGACACTAGTTTGGTACGGTGAAATTGCAGTTGGTTTTACAGTGAGTGAAAAGAAATCTATTAGTGATTTTGTTGCCTAAGTAAGGAACATAAGAGTGTCCCAAACAGTCGTGTGTTCTTGAATTTAATTATTGATCTATTTGCTGAAGTACTGTCAGTTAAGGATCTAGTGTAAGTTGGCTGTGTTCTGTATTGGTATCAATGGCTGTTAAGTCTTTTAAATAGACTTTCATGTAAGGAATAATTTAAAATGCTAGTTTTTACTTCACAAATAGGTTTAATTTCTGCTTATGTTGATATTTGTATCTGTTTCCTTGAGCATCTTGAAAGTTTGTGCTCAGGGCTTATGGATAGCATAGTTCTGTTGATTTGGTTTTTGGCATTGCATCAGTGCAGACACTAAAGTAAGTTCATATGCTCAACAGATATGTATAAATTGTGCATTCTTGGGAAACCAGATGTTTGCAATTTCAACTAAAAGATATATTTTTTTAAATGTCCACAAAGGTATGTTTAAGGCATGATCTTATGACCCTTTGCCAAGTAAATAATTTTTTTAACAAATCTTGAAGACTAATGTGCTAGTTGTAGTCTTTATTTTAAAATTTATAATGTGATCAGTGAGGGTTTTGGTTTTTGTTGATTTTTTTCAATCTTTGGGTGTTGTGCAAAACCCAGGAGCTTCAAAACACAAGTTAGGTTGTTTTTGTTTTGTTCTTGCCTCACAGTTTGCTGTTTGTCTCCAAGTTCTTTGAACATCACCCCATACCGCAGGAGGAGGCCTCCTTAGGAGAGACCACCCCAGCATCTGGATCGTACCCCTCAGTGCCCCCCTCAGATTCTGTTGGGTATGACCTTATTCCTGCTGTTTATTAACATAACATTTCAGTGCTGTATGCTTAGAAACACTCAAAATACTGATTTGCAACTCTCTACATTTTTTGTAATCTGGCTTGTCTTGCGAATATATTCACCAGTACTTTAAAGAAGTGAATATTTTAATTCACGTTAATTATATAAATTAGTACTGAACCTAAATGAAACATGTACATAAGTGTCTGTAGAATTGGGGTTTTACCTATTAAACTGATTTCTTCTGCATGGTAGCTTAGACCTGGTCTAAACTGGAAAGATTTTATAATTAAAATTAGCAGGACCCAAAACTATATAGTTACAAACTCTTTTAGTTTGGTTTACGAAACTACAGTTTATTTTCCTTGAAGTGACCCACCTCTGTTCCAGAATAAGTCACACCACTATGAGATGGGTGTGAACAGATGCCAATCCCCAGTTCACAATACTGCTTTAGTGGCTTTTCCACATATGTATTGCTTTAGTAACCTCCTGGCTAGCTCTTTTACTTCTGTTTAGATGTTGTGATATATCACCAGTATCTGTTTGCTACAGATCCAGGTTTTGTAAAATAAGACTTCTAAAACTGACCACAGCCTCCATCCTTTGTATTTTCAACAAAGATTCTGGACCCTCTCTTTGTTGGAGAGATAAGTGATCATATTTAGATTTTGTTCCCAGTAGCTGAGAGATTACTGACACCAGCCAGCACTAGACAGTTCAACAAAACTCAAGGAAAGAGTAACTGAAGGATGTGTATCGACGTCAAGAAACCTGATGCAGGTTTATTAAGAACACCAAATATGGAAGCCTTCAGAAAAACATTCCTAGGACATGTGTGCTACATGGAGACAAACTGAATTTGGCAGAGAGTCTCTCTTGGAATAGTGAGCTTTGTGCCCAAACTAAAGCAGAAACACAACTGGAAGCTACAGAGGCACCTATGGACTCTTAACTAGAAGCGAAATTCTCTGGACAGTCAAGACTGTTTTATGAAAGATTAATATGATGCCTCCCAGGAAAACAGATGATAGTCTTGCAGAGGGAACCTAATTTGGTAAGTTCACAGAGATCTGATGTACTAATTTGTGCAGCTTCAAGTCAATTTGGAAGTGTCTCTTCCAGCTAGTGGATGTTACCTTTATATTCTGTGGATATTGTTAGTGCAGCTAATTGTGGATAAGGCTGTTTCTGTGGTTCTCCAAGCTAATCAGGCTCTGCCTTTCCCATGGTACAGCTGAAATTATAACCAGGCTAGAACTGTTAATCTGTGAAGAAGCTTGTTTATACCAACTGTGCTAAATGCTTGTGAATGCCAAAGGCACTATATAGCCCCAATCCTAATACTGGTATATGCTAAATTTTCCTACTTTTCAGTTGCTTCTGCCTCACATTTGTGCTTTCTTACTGGTTTATGAGGATACAACAGGATGGATTATCTTAATTGGTACCTGCACTACTTCAGACAGTCTTAGTTTTGTGAAGTAAAAACTGAAGGGAAGAACTGAGGCTGAAGCTGATTAATGCTTTAATGTTTTTAACTTCACATGTATAAAAATGTTAATATTTAAATATACTTGCCAGCTGAAGTTAAGAAACTTTTCCTAAGTAAAACAGTAAAAAAAAAAAAAAAAACTGTAACTATATAGCCCCAATCCTAATACTGGTATATGCTAAATTTTCCTACTTTTCAGTTGCTTCTGCCTCACATTTGTGCTTTCTTACTGGTTTATGAGGATACAACAGGATGGATTATCTTAATTGGTACCTGCACTACTTCAGACAGTCTTAGTTTTGTGAAGTAAAAACTGAAGGGAAGAACTGAGGCTGAAGCTGATTAATGCTTTAATGTTTTTAACTTCACATGTATAAAAATGTTAATATTTAAATATACTTGCCAGCTGAAGTTAAGAAACTTTTCCTAAGTAAAACAGTAAAAAAAAAAAAAAAAAATCTGTAAATGTTTATGGTGGTAAGACCTGTAGAAGATTTATGGCTTTCTACTTTTAATTTTGGTTTTTACTTAAAAAAAAATAAAATTAAAGTCAGCCTTTTCTATAAAAAAATATGCTTACCCACAGTTTTGTTAAAGGGCACTGCTACAATAGGGGACAACAGTTCAGCTGTTGAATAAAAGAAAATTATCTGATATTTGATGTTATCTTTTCTGGGAAGAGAGTAAGGGATTGAAACTTGAGATTTGGGCAATAAGATTGAAAATACGAGGAACTAGCACATTAACCCTTATTAGTTTAATAATTGCTCTTTTGATTTCTCTGTCCTCCTAGCATCTTGCATGGCACAGCCCAGAGAGGAAGGGATGTTACTAATCATTTGGTAAACCTGAGGAAAGAGAAGGCAAACATTCATCTTCATCTTTAGCCTTGTGAAGGGATTCCAGCAGCAAGCAAAGTGCCCAAAGAAAGGAAGAGTTTGTGTTGCAAGACAAGCTCAAGAGCAAAGGCCTGTGTGACATGCTGAGAAATTGTCAAGAAAGGGATCAAATGGAGAAGTTGGAAAGAGACATGAAGGAAAAGACCTTTGGACATCATTATATAAAAGCTACAACATGCTGGAGAACTTTGTTTCACTTAGCTCATGTGTAACATCCTGCAGCAATCCAGTCCTGTAGCCTTTTATTCTTCCACCTGTAAGCCATAGGCAGTCCCTCTAGGCATTGCAGCCCAAAATAAGGGAGCACTGATAGTCCCACCTGCACATTTCTGAACCCCTTATAAAAATATGTCACACCACGTTAGGTTATTTGTTCCATTTCAGTTCTTTCGGTTTGCCCTATCCCATTGTGCCAAAGCTGTCATTTTAGTTATAATCTGCACTTAACTGGAAATAATTTTTTAAAGTGTAGGTCTCCCTAATAATAGCCATTTGTAATAAAATTGAAGTACACAAACTGTATATAATACATTGTATTCATTTCATTCATTGCACTATTGTAAAGTTTCTTCTGTATCTTTGCTCGTAAAATATGAGCACAGAATTTCTGTGAACCCGATTCCCTGGATCTAACAGATAACATGACAAGGGGAGAGGTGAACTATTAAAAATATTCCAAAGTTGTCTTTTCCAACTTCGATCTGTTCCCTCAGATGTTGTGCTGTTGGGCAAACTCATGAGACAGATATTATGGCAGGGTCAGTAACCTGTGGAGTGGGTGGCAAGGGGGCACACAGGCAGACTTGGAGTAGCACAGGGGCAGGTTGGACTCCTAGAAACTGAA